GCACCGGACAGTTCCAAGCTGCCTGCTGTTCACCCTGCCTCTCCTGTGACCACTTCTCTGTGTGTCCCTTCTAGTGCATCTTCTTCGTTTGAGATTTCTAAGCTTTTCAGAAGAACTGTAGGTTTCTTTTTTTCTTTTTTTTTTTTTTTTTGGTTTTTCTCTGGTACCGGGAACCGAACTCACGACCTTGTGCTTGCCAGGCAGGCGCTTTTTGCCGCTGAGCTAAATCCCCAGGCCCGAACTGTAGGTTTCTTCAGAGAGTAATATCTATGACTGGGAAATGAAGCTGTGTTTGTAGACAATCCAGCCAGTCCAAGTGAGGTGGGAATAATGTCATTCTTACCAGGATGTTGTGGGCTTTGTAGACATTCTTTAAATGACAAACAAAACAGCCTTTTACTTTCACTAAGTTTAGACTTACAGAAAAATAACAAAAATAGCACAGAGAGTCCATGTATACCCTTCGCTGGGCTTCCCCTAATGCCAGCAGCTTACATAACCATAGTACAATGGTCAAAACCAGGCAATTAACATTGTACCATATGTGAATTTCAGTAGTTTTGCTCTGAGGTTCTTTTTCTGTCTTAGGATCTGATTCAGGATCCCACACTGCTCACAGCTGTCGTGTCTCTTGAGGCTCTTCCAGTTGGTGACAGTTCCCCATTATTCCCTGGCTGTCATGGCCTTGCCTCCTCTGAAGAGTATTGATTAGTCTCCAATCTTGCGTATCTACACCTGGTAATCTGAGCAACTGCTTTGAAGATAACAATATGTAATATGGCAACCATTGTTAATTTCCTATCATAGTGTTTTGAAATTCTGTTTTTATTGTTTTTTGTTGTTTCATTTTTGCTTTTTTATTAAATAAAATTTTAAAAAGAGTATTGATCAGTCTCATAGAAGCTTTTTATTTATTTTCAATTCCTGGTTGGTTTCCAGATGACTGAAGGTTCTGGAAGCTTGCCCTTAGGATGACTCTGGATGAAGGCTCCTGTTTCTTTCTTCGTCTCATCTTCTTTGCTTCTCTTGGGACTTTCAAGCCCAAGAGCCAGAGAGAGGCGGGTAAGGGGGAGGGGGAGAGGGAGGGGGAGAGGGAGAGGGAGAGGGAGTAATGATTAGTGTTTCTTGACCTTGGGCATTCATCTCCCTGTCCTATGAGAATTCCTGATCACATCTGTGGCCAATTATGCATTTAGCCATGCACATTGACCTTGGGATGGATGTGAATTCCTTCTTGCTCCACCTCCTTTTCTGCATCTTTCCCCATTCCTCCCTCCTCTGTCTTGGTCCCCTTTGGTAACAGATGGGTGGTGGGGAGGACTCCAGGCCTGATGGGTCAGGTGCACACGCTTCCCAGGGGTCATGCATCTGAGACATGTGCCAGGCCTGCTGGGGGAAGTGGGTGGTGATTTGGGAAGTGGGACCATGTATTGGCCTGATGCACTCATGGAAGGGGTCATGGGGACAGTAAGGTTAGGGACAGGAGCAGTGGTCTAGGATAGGAGTCACCCAGAGTGACAAAAGGTCAGTTCATGTAGCCTATTCATATTGAAAAAGACATCTTCCAGTAATGCACTTGAACTTTTCTCAAGGATAATGGAAGAGAGTAACCAATTGGAAGATATCAATATGTAAAACATCAACCATTATTAATTTCCTGTCTCTTTGTCTGAAATGCTGTATTGCTTGTATTGTTTTTGTGTTATTTTGTAAAAGTCTGTGTGTCCGTTAATATGTTTTCATTCTTTTATCTTTAAAGTAAAAAAAAAAGGATAATGGAAGAGAATGCTATGCCTACAGTAATCAACTCATGCATTAATCAACTTCCATTAATCAACTCGTTCACTTTTCCATTTCTTTGACTGGAGTAAGATCTCTTTGGCTGTTATTGTTCCTCTTGTTATAATTCAGTTCTAGGGATAAGGACATAGTGATGAACTGGATGCAGACCTTGCCTCAGGGTGCCCAGAGAGGCAGGCAGATCACAGAAGATGAGAAGATCCCAGTGCCACGTGACAAGGCTCTGTTGGAGAGATATATTAAGTTTGTGGGAAGGAGGGAGAGGAAGTGACCTAACTGTGGTGGGGGTGTGCATTCAGTCACAGAGTAGGTGATGCTGAAGGATTTTGGGGAGTTAGGCAGGTAGACAGGTAAGAGACTGGTACTCCAGGTAGGGCACAGCACATAGGCCTGGAGGGAGTGGAGCCTTTAGCTACTTGGAAAAACAGGAAGCTTCTACTCTTTCATTTAGTTACTCAACCATTTGTTTTTGGCCAAGTACTGTGTTGGCCATAGGGCCACTGAGGTAAGGTCAACTTGACCACCCCTAGGGGTTTTAAAGTCAGGGCAGAGAGATAAACATTCTGGAAGCACAAGAACATACACTTGGATGCCTTGGGTGGCGGGGAGGTAAAGATGGGCAAGAAGGCTTCATGGAGATCTTTGAGGTTTGACTGGAGGTGGAACTGGGAAAATGAAGAAGTAGGGATGGTTGTTCTTTATAGAGAGAAGAGCATGTGCAAAGGCCCAGAGGTCACTTGTTCATTCACTCACTCATTCTATCCATAACTTCTACAACTATGTACTGAGTGCCATCTGCACGTGTGCTATGCACAAGGGTTACAAAGTGAGCAATGATGGTATTTACAGTCTAATGGAGTGTTTTAGTCAACTTAAGCTAAGTTATGCTTTAGTGACAAATAACTGCCAAATTTCAGTGGCTTATGACAACGAAGCTTTATTTTTAACTCATGTTATACGTTCATAGCTGTTGGCAGAGAGAAGAGAGAGGGTAGAACCATGTGTTCTGAAAGTAGCTGATTTTAAGTGGCACGTGTCCCTTTCACTCATGTTTTGTTTGACAGAGTGAGTCACCTGGCCAGGCCTGACACCAGTGAGTCAGAGATCTGTAATCCTCCCACAGCAAAGGGCAGTGAGTACTGAGACCAAGGAGACAACTACCATGTGTCTGAGGAAAGACTAATAGCTTAATATGCCTGGCGTGTATGGCACGAGGGCATACATGGCAATAAAGTAGTAAAATGAAGGAGAAATGAGCTCACCCAGGGCCTTGGGTCCTGGGATAAAGCTCTGGGCTCTGTCACATGACAATAGAGAGCTACGGAAGGTTTCCACAAGGGAGGGCCGGAACTTATTTGTACATTAAGAAAACCAACTCAGTGGCAGCAAAATGGGTGGGAGGGTTGAGGTTAGAGACAGGGAGACCAGCTGGGAAGTTGGGGAGACTGTGTGTTCTATTTGGATATGGTCTGTGTGTTCCCTGAAGGCACTTGCTGGAGGACCAGTCCCCTGTGTGGCAGCATTGAGGGGCTGAACCTTCAGGAAACGGGGCCCAGTGGAAGGTGATGAAGTCACTGTGGTCATCGACACTTTCGGAAGTGATTCATGATCTTGAGAGATGCCAAGTAGTTCTCCAGCAGCTGTTTGCTGCAAAGTGAGGTGACCCTGTGAACTTTGCCCCTTTGACCTCTCCTGTTTCCCATTGGCTTCTTGGTCATACTGTGACACAGCCAGAGGGGCCCTCACCAGAGGCCTAGCAAGTGGGGCTGCCTACTCTTCGACTTTCAGCTCCCAAACTGCGAACTACAATAAAATTCTTCCTGGTATACATTTAGGCATTTTGTTACAGCAACAGAAAATGGACTGATACACTGTAGTAGAGAGAATGAAGTGGGCCCAAACTAAGGCTACAACAGCAGGGAAAGAGAAGAGGAAAGAGATTCAAGAGATGTCAGGTGTAGAATCAAGGGGAGTTCGGTTGGCATATTGCTCAGTGGATATTTTCAAAAGAATGAATGAATAAGCGACAGAATGTGCCTGACCTTGTACATCCATCGAGTGACCATTACACTGATGGCTTATAATGCGAGACAGACCCTTATCAAATATGGCTGCACTCTTCTAACAACTCTGTTGATTATTTTTTAAAAATTGCTTTAAATTTATATTCAGTAGCATTCTTTTTCCTGGAGAACAGTTCCATGATTTTGACAAATGCATAGACTTATGTGACCACAGCCACAGTGAAGATCCTGGATAGTTCCATCACCCCGAGAGTCTCTCGTGGAGCTTCTTTGTTAGTCATATCCTTCCTCCTCCCCAGTTCCGAGCAGTCCTCATCTGTCCTCTGTTGCTAGTTTTGCCTTTTCAGAATGTTGTGTGAACACATCACCCGGCATGTTGTCTTTGGGGTCTCCCTCTCTTTCACGTAGCATAATGCATCTGCGATTCACTTAAATTGTGTGTACCAGGGTTTTCTTCCTTTCTGTTACTCAGTACTGTTTCATTATATGCTGTACCAAAGTCGATTGATCCATTTGTCTTTTCCACTTGGGCTCCATAACAAAATACCATAGATCATGTGGCTTCTAAGTAACAGAAATTTATTTCTCACATTGCTGGGGACCAGGAGGCCCAAGGCCGAGGTAGTTGCAGATTTGCTGTCAGGTGAGGGTTATTTCCTGTTCATAGATGGAACGTTCTAGCTGTGTCCTCCATGGTGGAAGGGAAGCTTCTGGAGTTTCTTCTATAAGGACACCGATCCCCTTCCTGAAGACTCTGCCCCCCATCTCCTAATCACTCCCCCCAAATCTCCACCTTCAAATCATCTCACACTGCGTCTTAGGTTTCAACATATAAAGTTTGGGAGATGGAAGCATCTATAGCACAGCACCATTTCGCAGCTGAGGAATATTTGGTTTAATTCTAGTTCTGTGTTATAAGTAATGTTGCTGTAAGATGGCAACTTAGGTTTGTGTGTTAAAGAGGTTGTTACTTCTCCTGAGTACGTATTGGGATTGTTAGGTCCTATGGTGAGTGTATGTCTAACTTTATTTATTTATTTATTTATTTATTTATTTAGGTTTTTTTCTGGTACTAGGAACCGAACTCACGACCTTGCGCTTGCCAGGCAGGCGCTTTTGCCGCTGAGCTAAATCCCCAGCCCTGTCTAACTTTATAAGAACTCCCAAAGTGTTTTCTAAAGCACCTGTACTATTTCCTACCCACCATCGATGGGTGAGTGTTCCAGTTCTGTCGTCTCCGAAATCTTGGGTACAGTCACCCCCCGCATTCTAATAGGTATGTGGTGGTGCCTCTTTGTGGTTTAAAAGTATATTTCCCCAATAACTGGGATGCTGAACATCTTCCATGTGTTTATTTGTCATATGTATATCTTCTTTGATGAAGAATGTTCAATTTTTTAAAAAAATTGCATTTTCCTACTGTTGAGTGTGGAGAGGACTTCATATACTCTGGGTATACTTTGTCAGATATGTGATAGTCTGTAGCTTGTCTTTTCATTCTCTTCCAATGTCTTTCACAGAACAAAAATTTTTAGTTTTGTGGAAATCCTTCCTCAAGTTTTCTCTCTTAGCGATGCATGGTGTTGCAAGCCTGTAATTCCTGCACTCTGGGAGGCAGAGGCAGGAAGATCCCAAGTTTGAGCCCAACCAAATAAAACAAAAAGATGGGGATGGGGTAGGGGTTAGGAATGTAGCTTGGTGAGAAGGCACGGGTTCAGTCCTCACTGCCATGAAAAATATTTTTTTTCTTTTTGTGAATTAAACTTTTGGTGTCATCTCAGAACTCTTCCTCTCCCCAGGTCATGATCTCGCCAGTGTTTTTCTTTCTTCAAAGTTTAAACATTTTTGTGCCTTACATTTAGGTCTTTCATTCTTTTGGAATTGATTCTGAAAACAATACAGAAATTAATTGTAACACATAGGTCAAAAAATTTTTTTCTGTCCTATCCTTATTTGTGTGATTATTTTCAACCCTGTTATGTTCCACACAGATTCATCAGTAACAACAAAGAGAAAATTGACAAAGAAGATGACAAAAAGTAGTTTTAAGTGAGGATACTTTCAAAGAATTATGAGAAGCCCCTGAAAAAATTAATGAGGATGGAATATTTTTACGTAAGTCAAAGATAAAATACAAGGAAGCTACATCATGTTCCTGCGTATTTATGCTGGGAAAATATCAACACTTGAATCATCCTTCCTTTAACAGTTAGAAAATGGTTGTAGTAAAAAACAAAATCTAAAATGGGAAAAAAATGTTCAGATGGGGAACGGAAGAGGAAAGGGACAAGCAAAAAAAAGAGAACAGAAGGAAAAAATGGAAACTAAGCTTTTGTAAATAAGGAGGGGAAGAGGTGTTGAGGGGGAGGGAATGGAAAAAAAAGAAGCAAGATATATACTACGTAGAGGCACAAATTCCCTATGATGAATGTGATCATTATGTATATCTAAGATGTGCCAATGAAAAACCCTCTAAAAAAGAAAAAATAATTAAAAAATCAAAATCTTAAACAAAATATGAAAATCTTCTATAATTTTATTCAATCCTTCCCTCGCTCCTTCCCTGATAACGTGGAGCAATTTGGTTCTGTTCTGTTTTCAAGGTTTATTTCCTTTTAATTTCACAAAAACTGAGAACAGGCATTATAATATTACCCTGTTTTATTTACAGATGAGGAAACTGTGCAAGAGAGCTGACTGACACCCAGGACTGTTGACTTCGAGTTCACATTCAGAACTACCAGGTCACCTGGACTGGGATGGAATTTTCTAGGACATAGGATTTTAGAGATACAACCAGGAAATTCCGTGCAAACCAGGACTGGCTTGTCAGGAATGGTCTGTACTGTGTTTAGGTACAGATAACTGTCTTCATTTGTGTTTTTCTTCAGGGCTACTGTCACCAAGTTCTAAGTGTTGCATTTGCAAACACCCCAGATCACTTTTCCTGCTTCTCCACGCCCTGCAAAACACTGGCTGCGTTATGTGGTGCCCCCAGGATGGGCTTTACTAGCTCCTGCGGGGTGCTCTGTGCCTGTAGGTATCTCTCTCTGCTGAGCCAGGATGTGTCCCCCGAGCTCAGAGGTGGAGTTTTGTTTGTTTCTTTTGATGGGAAGATTCTCCTCCTGTCCAGAGCTGCATCTGAAAAAACTCTCTTTCTCAACCCAGCTTCCTGTGTAACAGCAGGAAACATCCCCCCAGCAACCACTCCTTGGGAAGATCATGAGTTGGCTGCAGTTTCCTACACCTTAGGTTACAAAAGCACATTGCAAAGAATGGTGAAGTCCCTGAGTGTTGACGCAAGCACAGACTTCCCAGACTCGAGAGACACCTCTGGAAGGGCTGACATTGGCCTCAACTATTTCTCTTATATCCTTGAGAACGAGCAGCAGCACAGACTTCTGTGTGGGTCACTTGGCCAAAGCTAGGGTCACCTAACTTTGAGCTGGAAAGTTGCTGGAAATTTGAAGGTAAAGCACTCCAAAGGCTAAGAAGTTTAGGAACCACAGACCATGTTCAAAAAGAGCCTTTCAGAATTTAAAAAAAAAAAATGGCAAAGTTAATTAGCCTCCCAGCAGCAGCTTTTCAAAAAGTAATGACTTCAAAAACAATTTACAGCTGGGCATGATGGTGCCTGGCCGTAATTCCAGTACTCAGAGGCTGCGACGTGAAGATCATGAGTTCAAGGCCAGCCTGGGAAACAGCAAGACCTTGTCTCAAAACAAAAACAAAAACAAAAACAAAAACAAAAACAAAAATGCCCCAAAACAACCAACCAACCAAACAAAAAAAAAAACCCCAGTAATTTAATTAAAGTGTTGCATTCGTAGAGTCCTTGAAACATTTTTAACAAAAAATTTCAAGGTTTAAAATATATTTGAGTATAAAACTGGTTTACCAGTTGTCTTGGTTACTTTTCTCATTGTTTGAGACAAAAATACCGAACACCCAAAGTGAAAGGGGGAAAGGTTTATTTAGCTCACAGTTTGCCGAGGTTTCAGTCCATAATCGGCCTGCTCCGCGCAGGGTGGCATGGGGGAGGGGCAACAGTCCAGGACAGCAAAAGCAAGTGCGAGAGAGAACAAGCCCCTCTCTGTCTCTCATAGCGTATGCAGCCTACCGGCCCAGGGCGGGTGTAGCACTCACACCCTTAATCCCAGCATTGCACTGCGAATCAGTCACACACTCTAGATTCAGCTACTTCCAAAGAAACCCCATCTAAAACTGCGTGAGGCTTTGGGGGGACATCTAGGCACAAACCGAGAGACAAATTCATTTTTTTTAATGATAAGAAAGTGTTTACAAATTGACATTAAGATAACTTTCTTGATGATAAATGCATGTTGCTTATAGAAAACCTAAAAAAAAAAAATTAAAAAGGAAGTAAGAATTATTCGTAATAGTATAATGTGGAGGGGGCTGTCCAGTAGGAAAACATGGGATCTGATGGTAGATAATGCACTGGGTTCTGTTTTTGTATTTTACCTTAAACTGAGCTTAAGATGACCACACGGAAGCAGAAGTTTAATGACTGCCCAGTATCGTTGTACCGTCCACTGTGATTTACCTAGCTGTGCTTGGTAGACAGTTGTATCGTTTCCAGTTTTTTGTTTTGTAAATAATGCTGAATTTAGCATTGTAGCAGATAGAGCTGGGCAAGTCTCTGGCTGTAATCTTCAGAAGTGGGGTGCTCAGTGTGTCACGTCACGAATGGGATTTGTCATAAGGATTGTTTTCCTGGGAGGCGTCTGCAACCGGGATCCGCAGGGACAGGCAGGGGTGAGGCAACCCTCCAGGACTGGCTTGGCGAAAGCAGGACGGACAGAGCAGCAGAGTTGGGTGTGGACACTGAGGCGAGGGCCCTATGTGGGGTGTACTGTGACCCTCACAAGCACAGTGAGGGGCCCAGGGGCCAGGGATAGTTCCTCCCAGGAGCTGAGATTCTTTGTACCTGCCCGACTGCTGGAGGCACAAGCATCCCAGGCCCTGGAAAGGGCTGGGGATTAGGTTCTTGTCTCTCCCTAGCAGAGCATACAGCGGGTGGTGCTGCCCGACTACGGTCTCTCTGATACAATTTCTCTGTCAGAGTCCCCGACAACCTGAGCCTGCGCATCCTGTGTCAGGATGCCAGGGCTTGCAGCCAGGTAGCTGGCCAGCGCCATGCATTTGTTGACACAGCGCGCCCTCTAGCGGGCATCTCTCCCACGACCCGTGAAACGTGCGCCGAAGGTGAGTCCTGGTCCAGGCTCCAGGAGATCCGCTTTCTCAGGGAGCGGGGAGGTCGGTTCTAGCCCCAGCTCAGCCTTTAATGGGCTGCATCGCTCTAGCCACACGGCACCCTTCTCTGGGTCTCACCTTGGTCTGTGCAATGAAGAAAGTCATTGGCTCTCAGAAGGGGCGCCTCACCTTCACGAGGTTGACTCCTCCCTCGGGGTGAAGGAGCGCCACAGGGCATCTGGCTTCACCAGGCAGGCTGGAGCCACGAGGATTATCTCATTTGGAGGTGACTTGGGGCCTGAGCGGGGACTCTCACAGGAGGATGAAGTAAGGGACAGAGCTCATGTGCTCCAGGGGCTACACAGGCTGTTGTGGGGCGGGGCAGACCTTTCAGATAGGTAAGAAAACTGAGCTCCACAGGTAGTCTGAGAGGGTGGCAGCCGCAGGACTAGCGGAGCAAGAAACTCCTCTCCCCCTGAAAGCAGTGAGCATCCTGGCAAGGGCAGTCACAGTCAACTTTTTGCCAAACTTTGGGAATTAACACAACACTTGGCGACAATCCGTGTGTCTATCCAAGAAAAATGGCTGAGCTTTGGCCAGTGGGGTGAGCTTTGTGGCATTTTAACCTGTTCCAGTTCTGCCCCGACAACCAAATCTAGTGGTAGCCTTGACGCGAACTAGTTGCACAATCACAGTGAAAGCCAGCAGCCCGGGAAGGCACAGAATAGGGTGGGCACACCTCCAAGGCCGCTCAGGGTAGCTGGCATTATTGCACCTATGTCATTGTTTGCCCCACTTGCAAGTCTGTTTATTTGACCTGGTTTGGAGCCCAACTCAAGCAGCCTTTCCCTGGGGGTGTTTGTTGGAAACAATCAGCAGTGACTGTTTCACATGTATCTGTCTCAGCTGGGGAGAGTGGCTGGGGCAAACAAGAAGCTGACCCCAAATTCTAAAAGGAAAAGTTGAGGAATATCCCTCCATAAGGGATTTTGAAAAGTTCTAGATGACTTGTTACTGCCTTTGATTGTTTGATCAATCTTACATTCTCACATCTGGTAGACTTTGTTGAAGGTAACAGTATGTAATGTGGCAACGATTGTTAATTCCTAGCATTTTGTTTTGAGGTCATGTACCGTTTTTGTTGTTTTGATTTTGTCTTCATTGTTACTTTGCTATTCTTTTTAATTTTAAAATAAAATTTTTTTTAAAAAGTCCTAGTATACTTTTAGGGATCCAGAAGCCTCCACATGTGGGTAGGGCTGTAAGCTGGCCCAGAAAAGATGCTGACCCTTCATTTGCCATTTGCAAATGGTGCTGCAGTCCTGAGTATGAGGCCACGGCTGCTGTATAGACAGCAGGAGGGAGCTGCATATGGGCTGGGGAAGGGTCTGGGTCTTGTGTGTTATTTTCTGTCACAATCCACTTTCTAGGTGACTCCAGCCTCCCCCTGCTGTCTGATGATGGTGGTATGCACTTGTATATGCATGTGTACATTTCCCATGAGCACTATCAGCTCCAGAGATGGAAAAATTTCAAGAATTTTCTTTATTAGGCATAAAAAAATACAGTACGTCTCATGCACCAGTGTGGCCATAACGTAATCATTATCTGTAGAGCAACCACTACAATGATAGGAAATAGAAGGTTACAGGAAATGTTTGTCTGATGACAAAACCGGAATTAAAATTGTTAATCTAAACAACAGCTGTTTATTAGGCTAAACCCTTATTCTATGTGCTTGTGAGAGCTAGGAATTTGTAAGTATTATTAGTAAAACAAAGTCATTATAAAAAATTAATGATTAGTTAAAAATAATGTCAGTGTTCGCTCCAGTCCCCTGAAGTCTGAGAGGCTGCGCCCAGGGTGGGCAGTGTGGTTTGTGATGCGGGGTAAACCGCAGCGTGTGTCTCTTCCCCTGCCCTCTCTGTCTGGATGCCGCCTCCTCAAGGCATGGCTGCAGTGGGAAGTTCTAAACGCAGCCCTCTTTGAGCCACACAGAGGCCAGGATCTGTAGAGCGGGGCGGGGCAGGGCCTCGCCTTCCGTAGGTGTGCTTGAGGGCCGGTTCCCTGAGACGTGGCAACAAGGCATAAAGGCAAATGGTGGCTCTGTTGCACAGCTGGCAGTCTGTGTTTGGGTATGAGCATTGCTGGACTTGCCGAGGGACACATCTTGGATGCTTCCAGGTCAAGAGATGAGAGAGAGTGAAGCAGAGAAAGCAGGAGTGACCAGGTAAGGCAGAGATGGGGGCAGGTCTTCTGCTCCAGAAACATCTGCCCCTTCACAGGCAAGCCTAGGTGAGTGTGGATGCGTGTCAGATTGGGGTCTCCGCTATTCTAAGCCCGCTCCAGAGGCAGTGGGTATGAAGGTGGCCTTCACCCTGTGATCTGTCACTCTTGGTTGCCACTGTCCCTACAGGATGAATTCACAGTTGCTTCAAGTTCAACAAGCCATTTCCCTGAATTTGGCCGAATGCATCAGTGATCAGTACAGCACAGTTCCTGGAGTGGCAGGCCAGCAAGCTCACTCTGCAACCCAAGGAAAGGAGCTGCCATGCGGCCCCTTCCTCCCTCTCGATGGGCCTGGGGAACAGAGGGAGAGTGTGAGGCCGAGCTGGGGCTCTAGACAGCAGGGTGACAGATAGTCACAGTCTTCCTGGGGACGGGCTGCAGAGTCTTGTCCCACAGGTCATACTGTCCACTCCCTTGCCCCCAGGCAGAGTCACCAGGATCATACCAGCTTCACCAGGGGGTTCAGAGAACTCAGGGGAAGATCCTGCTGGCAGTTGAACCCAGGCTGGCTGGCGTGGCAGCTTTGTTGAGCCAAAGAAAATCTTTGAGTTAGACCTGTGCCATGGGGGCAACAGCGTGATGTTCCTGGGCCGACAGTAGAGTAACCCGGCTTCTCCAGCATTTATGGAGTAGCCATCACTGAAATACGTTCCTGGGTATTTCAGGGGTCTGGAGCTTGGTACCCTGGACATAGTGAGGTCTTTGGCACCCATGAGGAAGGGCTGCTGGTCTGGGGAGTCAGTGCCACCCTGGAAAGCTTGATGTCTGCTGTCCGACTGGCCAGGGCTGCTGTGGGTTTGAGTCCCCAGGGTGAGAGCTCCGTGACCCCTAATATGCCAGCTCCTCCCAGGGATTGGAGCCATACAGCTCCGCCAGCATCTTGAACCTGGGCCCCCAGTCGTTGAGGAAGTCATAATCAATGTCAGAGTTGGTGGAATCGGTGCCCAGGGAGCTGAGCGACTCGGCGATGGACTCGGAACCCTCATAGTCGTAGATGTGCAGTGTATCATAGGGTGGGACCCCACTGTCGTGGTCTGCCTCGTCCTTCTTCACCTCGATCATTGTGGCCATCTCCCCAGGCCCACCGTGCACCCCAGGCGCCAGCCGCGGTGGCTTCTGCGCCTTCGCGTAGATGGGCGGCCGGGCGTCCAGCATGGACAGCGGGGCCTTGGCCGTGCCAGACCGCACCGAGTTGAGCACGGACACATCGTAGCTGGTGGTGTCCATCTCGCCGCCGCCCTCCTCGTCGTAGGTGACCAGCTGCTCGTGGATCTCGGTCACGCATTTGCCGTGGGCGTGGGCCTGCTTCCGAAGCCGCCTCCGCAAGAAGATGAGCAGGGTGATCACTGGCCACCAGAGAGAGAGAGAAGAGGGTCAGACAGGCTCCGGGAGGCGGCCGCATTCATCTGTCCTCCCTTTCCCCTGCAAGTTCCGGGCCCAGCTTGGGCTCCAGGAACACCTCCAGGACCGGTGTGCTCCACACACCCTGTGGGCCCATCCCCCCACCCGTGGGACAAAGTCCTGTTCCCTGCCCCTGACCACACCCTTGGTCTCCACTGGCTGAAGTAAGGGAGGGGAGGAACAGGGTGGGGCTTCCTGGAGAACATTCCCTTCTGCAGTCTCCACCCCCATCACGTACATCTTCCTTTCCTGTCACCTCATACCAGGGTGGCACATCTTTCCATGTCGTCTCTACAAACCCAGGAGACCACAGTGGGTAGAAATGGGGGGACAGGGTGGAGCTGGAATTTCAGGTGCCAAGATTTGGAACTATTGCCTTGTGGAGACTGTAATGGTAATGCCTGGATAACTGTGCTCGTAGACATGCCCACTGCGGTAGCAGCAGCCACTCTTTTGAGCACCTACTTTACAAACTACCTGGAACTACTCTAGGCAGGTGCTAACATTATCTCACTCAGTGTAGATTTTATTTTT